AGTAGACTCATAACGATTGAAAACAATGTTTTTGTTTGAGTTTGACCAATTCGTAAAAAAAAAATAAAAAAAAAAAAAACTAATTAAGACATGCGTATCCATCAACCTTAAACAATAATGTTTGTCAATTTTATTTTTCAGTTTTTATGATGATCGATACTTGATCTATCTCTTACTATTACATCCCAGGCAACGCCAGGCTCTACTGCTAGTATATATATATATATATATATATATATATATATATATATATATATATATATATATGCATGTATAGTTTCTCTCTTTACATGTATTATGGATTTATTTTAATCAAATTTGTTTGAATGAATACTTACTGCTTAAATATACCTAATGTACGTACATATTGGGAAGCGATACTTCTTTCATACGTTTTATTGAATGTGACGGACAAAGAAAATTGGTTAAGATTTTTATTCATTTTTTCTTGTGTCCTTACATTTTTTTTCTTTTTAAAAACTGTAGAAACTTGTGGTAGTAATCACTGCGGACACTATATACTTAGCTTTAGTTTTTATAAAAGAACCTTTTATAATAAAATATCAGTACACTAGATAAATTGAATAAAAAAACATCCAATGAAACATACGCACACACAGACATATATATATATATATATATATATATATATATATATATATATATATATATATATATATATATATATATATATTATACCTAATGGGATGTATATTTTACCTTATTACAAGTGATGGGGGTAATTAAAAGTTTTAAACCCAAACCTCCATTACCCACACTCTAGCCTAACGACAGAACATCAGAGGCTTTTTTTTTTTTGAATGACGGGCTTCTTCAGAACTATAACTTTTCAACACCCCCTTGCAGATAAGTGTTTTAGATAATATATTCATTACTACTTTTACAAAGGAGAATGTGTTTAACGATACCTGGATAGTAGCTAAAATTTTATAATAGTTATATATATATATATATATATATATATATATATATATATATATATATATATATATATATATATATATATATTAACTATCGACGTCAGCTTATTTAACGGTGGGAATGGTGTGTTGAAAGTTTTAACAAAAATAGAAAGACGCTCACTTGTATTCTTACCGCACTCAACAAGCGAAGGCACTGAATAATCGCCGCTACTAGTATTGAAAGAGAACACAAAAGCACAAGTTAAACAGTGAAAATATGAAAAGAAATTAAAAAAAAACTAAAAAAAAAATCTTGAGTATAACTAAAGAAGTGGCCGAAAGTGTTTGCGACAATGGACAATATGGACAATTTTTCCACTCCCTTACTAACATCAAACAGAAAAAGGTAAGGGAAAATTAAAAAAAAAAAACTTAATTAAATTTTCCTTGACATTCATATTTAACGACATATGTTTAAAATAATGATTCCTGCTGAAATATTCATTATACACACACACACACACACACACACACACACACACACACACATATATATATATATATATATATATATATATATATATATATATATATATAGGTAGGATGTGAGATCGGGAGAGAGAGGGAAAGAAAGAGATAAATTTTACAGTAGCGTTTAACTTAAAAATGAAACAAATTAGCAACGGACAAAAGATTTGGTCTGAGCACCGAGTTTTTCTTACCTTATTAAATCTAAAACTTTCATCTTATCATCAAAAGGAAGCAACTTAGAACTTTGCTTTACATTACGGGATAATTTTTAAGTGAAAATTATGATTTTTTTCTTTTTCTGAGTGCATCCGTGGATAGCTGAAACTGCTGAAAAGGTGGACCACTGTATATAATTGCCCTCTGACATTATTATTATTATTATTATTTACTCGTATGAATTTATAAGCCCTGTCTATTGATGAAATAGTTAGGTAGACTGGGCCCTCTAGCTTTGGCTGGCAGCCAGTCTATGAGAATAAGAACTCTGAATTCCAAACTGTAGAGAAGTTAACAGGAAATCAAACCACTATCTTTCCCACAAATGTATGGCAAATCACAGATAATAAAAAAAAGGAATCTGTGGAGAGTCATGATCGCCTATGGTAGAGGTATGGTATTACAAAAGCATTTATAAAGCATTAGAGTGAGTCGTCGAATAGATATATGAATGCATGACACAGTTAAATCCATTAAGTCCTGATGATAAAAAAAAACGTTTATTAAAAACGCATTTATTAAAAATAAGGAAAAGGAAGAAGTATAGAGTAGATAGGGTCGTCTATCTTCCCGTTCACAATCCTTCACCGTCTATTGAACAGGAGTAGAGGTCTATCCTTTGTTTCCTGTTTAGGATAGGTTTTCCGGTTTCTTCTAAAGTCTTTTTCAGTTCTCTACTCCTAACGCCTGTTCTTTCGTCTACCTTGATTGGCTCCTGGGCCTTGTATTTGGGAAAAATTAGTTAAAATTGCACTGATTCTAACACTTCTCCGTTCGTTACATAGAGTAATTAAATTCAGCTAATGACAATATGAGGCTACGAATTTATT